ATTACATATCCAAATATTTTTGGATTATTAAAATTCCTTAAGATTAAGTTTACATTTAATAAGTATATAGTTGTGAGTGGTTTAAAATCTTTTGTAAATATTATTTACTAATTAGTACATGCTTTGGATTATTAATATGTTGTTCATGAATTGTTTTATGGTATATTATTGTTTAAGATGCTTATTTCGACTTATATTCGTAATGTTATTACTATCCATGAAGTATACCTGAATATATATATATATGTATATATATTGTTTCTATATATATTTGCTATGAAAAGTAGATTGTAGTATTATGTTATACGGATGAATATAGACCTCCTGCGGAACTGGAAACCAAAACAGATCGGTAACACGCCTATATTGCATCCTCAGAGGTGGTGAGGAGAAACAATAAATACGCAGTAAACTTTTGTTTCGGAAATATTTTTGATAGTTTTCATGAATGTGTTGCATTACAGATACATGTTCACAAACAAGCTGTTAAACCATGGAGAAAGCTCACGAGCTTGTGGTTTTCTTGGCAGCATTGAAAATTCATTACTGAACAGATGACACGCAAACAACGAATTACCATTAAGAATCCTGCAGAAATGAATCAGAAATCAGTGGGTTATTTGTAGGATCAGATTTTTTAGTGACTTTTACGTGTGTTTCTAATCTTTATTTAAAGAGATTTTAAGAAAGAGCGGGTATTTTGTCGCAGAGTATTGTTTTGCTTAGCAGTACCAATTGTCAACGTATATACAAGTACATATCTTGGTTAGAATTCCCAGCAAATGTTATGTAATCTTCGACTTTCGAACAAATATTCAAAAGACATTTGTTTATTGAGTATATAAAAAATAAGTAATGTTCATGTGTAGGTTATTTAAAACTTGTAAGTGTTTTGATATATCATAATATTTTATTAAGTTAATTTTGAAAATCATTTGTGATTAAAATAAACATGTACATATATTTAGACCGCATATAGGATATCTAGTTTGTTAAAACTAATATAAATTATGTATATTGTTATGTTAAAATGGAAACCGAAAAATACCAAAGAAATGCAAATCTCCAAACTTATTTCTTTCCTTAGTGGCACCACTGTCAAATGTTATAAAATATTTGGACTTTGACAGCGCTCTCTCGAAACCAGCGCTCTCAGTGTTCCCAAATCTCAAACATTTTTATCCCTAAACCTCAAACAAAAACCCACTTAATTCCCCTAAAAAAACAATTATTATTAAGATAAATAAAAAATTATATATTTAATTATACTAACATTCTTTAACTGAAATTATCAATTATTATTGAATTACCATATATAATTGGACTTGCTCTGCCAAAGCAAAAAGCAAATTCTTATATCTTTTTTTAACACATTTCACATTTTTCAATTAAAAGTTTATTATTCACAATATAGAAAGCCCCTGAAAATGGCCCTCAACATATAAAACATATAGGGGGAAAATCCGTATCTTGGTAACACTGTACTAGACTCAACATTGCAAAATTAAATTCTACTAAGTGACGTAGACTTCAATATAGATACGTGAATCGATATCTATAGTACAACTTTAAATTTTTATTGTACTTTTCTGGTTTAAACTTCCAAAATTTCTCATACCCTGCTTCAGTATATTAAACAAATTTCTTAGAATTTAATTCTTTTTATTAGTTTTTTAAATAATATATATATTATGTTTTGATAAATAAGATAAATAAGAAATCCCCAAAAAAATACCCTAAAAAAATTCTCCCCCAAAAGTTTCCCAATACTTAAAAAAAACCTAAGATTTAAGGGAAAATCCCCATAGTTGGCTTCACTGGTATAAATATTCAAATAACCAAGCGTGTTGTATTTTAATATTTATAACTTTAAGAATGTTTTGCTTGTATTATTAATATGTTGTTCATGAATTGATTTATGGTATACATATAATGGTTTAAGATGATTATTTCGTCTCATATTGTTATTGTTATTACTATCCATGAAGTGTACCTGCTTTTATATTCAATATATATGTATATATTTTCTATTTATATTTGTTATGAAAGTAGATTGTAATTTTATGTTATACGGATGAATATAGGCCCTTCTGTGGAACTGGAAATTCAAAACAGATCAGTAACACGCCTATATTGCATCCTTTGAGGTGGTGAGGAAAAACAATTAATATGCAGTAAATTTACGTTTCGGAAATATATTTGATAATTTTCATTAATGTGTTACATTACAGATACATGTTCACATACAAGTTGTTAAACCATGGATAAAATGATTGAAAATTCATTACTAAACAGATGACAAGCAAAAAACGAACTACCATTAA